TCAAGTTCCGTTAAAATCAGTTAAAAATTGGGACCTGTAGAGTGTGCACAAACAAAATGTGAACGGACACATGGAAGGATGGAGAGACAGGGGCAACAACAATATATATCTACATGAAAATGTGGGCGTATAAAAATACTCTTAACAATACAGTAATAAAACGCCTCCATCCTTGTCTTAAATAAAGCAATGAACATTCATTAAACATTGGTAAAAAAAACCTTGGCAGAGGCGTAGCTGGATTCCAAACCAGACGTGAAAATAAGAAATGTGAAGAAGACATAGAAATTGTTTGTTAACTTTCTCTGAAAGTCAAACCATAATCCCTACATTTAGCAACGTTAACTTTCAGGCTTCACAAGCTATGAATGATAGCCTGTCAACGAAAGCTATCCATATCAAGTGGATGTCTTTCATTTATCTCAGATATGGACATATTAGAATGACACAAGACTGTTCATGTACACGTCCTGTTCAAGAAAACTATATTTTTACCTATTCCTACATCATTCTATTTCTATGGTAGCCATCTTTTATTTTCAGATAGATATTAATAATCAATATCAGATGAAAAACTCTCCTGAAACACATGGGAACTGTGGTGGATCAGTGAGAAAGACTTTGACTAGGTAACCTGTTTGATGCCGGTGTCGGCCAAAAAAGTTCATCAGAAGCGACAACATACGTATATTCGATCGGATGGGACAAAAAACTGAGCTCCTGTGTACACATTACCGTGCACGTAAAATATTCCTTGTTGTAGCAAAATTTTCCTCATTGCACACTGCATTGTGTATGCCCGTCTTCATAAGCCCAGTCTGAGCAAACAGTAGGACATTAAACCCAATTTCATTTCTAAAACACTTAAGGACACTATTCAAATCTTTCTTTTTTTCAAAATCATTTTTCTCCATGTTGACATTTGGAATGTGAAAATAGAATATACAGTACTGCCGCTGTCCATGCAAAAATTCCCTTTAGCGAGAGACAGAAATGGGGTTTAACGTCCACTCAAAATAAACTAGGTCATTTTGGGACTAATATATGGTTCAATTTTATTTCAACAATTCGCTTATGTGTAGGGGTCGTTAGCAGTGGGAAGAAACTGGAGGACCCGGAGAAAAACCAAGGGGTTGGACAGGCGACCCTACTTGCCACGTACAACCGGGGAATCGAAACCACGCCAGTTGACTCAATGACAGACCTTGTGATACAACGGTCACGCGCTAAACTTTCGGCCATCCAACTCCTCTCAATCATAGCACACTGCACCATGTATTCCTGCCATTAGCCTGGTTGGAGCAAAAAGGTAGGTTGTTTGATTTGATTTCATTTCCTGACATATTTTCTGAAATGAAGCAATGCAAGTACCTATTTGAATGCAATGTTCTTTAGGGCAAATGGAATATCAAATATATGATTAAACTGAATCGACATTCCAACTGGTCAATATCTATTATTGGATCTCGGAAATAGGCCTACTATAGATTATAGTCCTTATAGGAAAACAATAAAAAGATAGAAATTAAATTGATTTGACTGACTGAGACTGATGTTCATTAAAGCTAATTACCCTATAGGCTTGCATGTGTGTTGCATACTGGTTACGTGAACTAGTTTTAAGTGTTAAGACTAAACCCAGACATTTTTGGGAAAGTGAGCAATCGATAATACAAATACTATTGATTTCAGCTGGCAATTTCTTAACCATTCTCAACCTAATCTCGGCTAGAACTGTGATAACGCTCCAATCCATTCTGTAAAGAAATCAAGTCTGTGGTAGTTTTCTTATTTCTGAATCCACAAATAATTATTTGACATAATTATTCAGGTTTTAGGAATTTAGTCAGTTAAAACAATAAAATAAACTACACCATCCATTTTAATTCAATTTTGTGTAAAGCATTTGCCTGCTGTGTTTTGAAAAAACAAAAATATACAACCACAAAAAAATCTGACACACTAGGTTAGAACTATCAATCAATATATCTTAGATGGTCAGGTGAAACTGACTGATTAAAATTTTTTTATTTCAATGGGAGAATTTTGCTCGGACAGTGCTTCCGCCTACTCTTCTTTGATGTTCAAGTGTTAGGGGATTGTAAAGATCCCCTACGATCCCCTTTATTTTGATTCTGTTCAAGTGATTAAGCATATTTTCCTCTCAGCTCCATAGGCACAACTCCTGACAAGTGAAGACAAGGCTTAAAAAATCCTGATGGTTTTCTTGGTTATATAAGAATTGTATCATGCATTGACATTATTACTTTTCAACAAGCACTATATCTTTTTAAAAATATACTTTCGAAAAATATCCAGTTTGATCAAACACTGAATCCGGATTGGCAATGGTAAATCACCTAAAGAAATCTTGAAGTTATATATTCCGAAAGCGAGACATGTCTTCTCACAGCCAAGACTTCCAATACGACTAAGTTACAAAAAACATGTAGCAGCATGAATGGAAGCTATCCATAAGACCATAATATTATCTTAAACTAAAGAGAAACTAAGCTATTACGTTCATACAAGATATTAAGTATAAAGCTTTCATGTAGAAACAGCTTACAGTCATAAAAGTATCATTTATTATATATAAAGAAAGCAAAATAATTTTGCTATAGACATTTATAAAAACTACACAACAAACTCCTATTGAATTATTCCATTTGATGGTTAAAATAACATGGCAATTTGTCATCCATTTCTGCCAGGAACCTTATTTTTAGCACTGGTGGACCACATATAAACAGAATTCTAGAATAGAAAATTTTCCTTGAACAGCTACCTGCCAGCTCTGATCTAGGAATTCCAACAGTAAAGGCATTTTATGCACTACCAATGTGTCCATGGAACCTACATTTTCTACTCGACATCTAGACACTATTGCATGCTCTACATATTAATCTTTAACACAACGAGGTCGACTGAAAAGTTCTGAACCTGAAAAGGATAGATCAATTGGGTTGAAACAAACTTTTGCCAGCAATAAGTAGAATCATTGAATGAATCATGGACATCAGAACTGCAGTTGTAGTGTTATTATTGTCTTCATACCAGACCATCTTGTGAACCTACCCATTGAAATTACGAGAAATGGACAAAACTGGCTATAGGGCAGTCATCAAGTAGCTGCAACTGAAAGGACTAACCCCAATACAGATACATGCCAACATGGTCTCCATTTTAGGGGGTGATCCCCCTTCCTTTTCCACAGTAAAGAAGTGGGTTGTGAAAGTTAAGCATGGCAGAGAGAGCCTTGAGGATGACCCGCATCCTGAAAGGCCATCAATAGCAACCATTCAAGAAAACATTACCCTGGTGCATGACCTGGTGATGGCTGATCGACGATTGACCACTCGACATACTGTGGGCAACTCTAATAGGAGTTGAGCACATTATTGCCAACGAGTTAAGAATGACAAAAGTTTCTGCAAGATGGGTGCCAAAGCTCTTGACAGCAGATCAGAAACGTGTCAGATTCCCCGACGTCCCATGACAATCTGCAGTTTTGATAATTTTTTGGCCGGATTTGTAAACATGGATTAGACTTCCAATACGACTAAGTTACATAAAACGTGTAGCAGCATGAATGGAAGCCATCCATCACCTATCAACTGTCTCATATTATCTTAATCTAAAGAGAAACTAAGCTATTACAGTCATGCAAGATTCCAAAAATGAAAAAGGAACTAGCCGGTGGTCATTTTCCTAGTAATGATGTCATGTCAGCTGTGAACGACTTTTTAGGGTGGGTGAAAAAAATTTCTTCCTGACCAGAATCCAGGCCTTGCAACATCGTTGGCAAAAGTATGTACATCTCGAAGGAGACTATGTAGAGAAATAAATGGAAACCATCGACTTTGTACAGGTCTTTCACAGATAGGCTTAGAACTTTCCAGCCAGCCCTCGTAAGTCTTGAAAATTTCAAATGGTTCTTATTAACTCCCACTACACTATTACATTCATTAACTTAAACATGTCCTTTCTGATCCCTGGGGTTGGATGGCCAAATGGTTAGCCTGTGCGCACTGTATCATAAGGTCTGTCATTAAGTCAACTGGCGTGGTTTCGATTCCCCAGTCGTTTGAGACAACGAGTAGGGTCGCATGTTTTCTCCTGGTCCTCCGGTTTCCTCCTACTGCTAAAGACCCCTGCGCATAAGTGAATTATTGAAATGACCTAGTTTGTGTTGAGTGGACGTTAAACCCCATTTTTCTCTCTCTCCTTTCTGATCCCCATCTTCATTCGAATCATTAGCCCAGTCGGAGCAGAACAGTAGGATGTTAAACCACATTTCATTTCATTTCATTTCATTTCCTTACTGATCCCATTGAACAATTTTTGATGACAAAAAATATATCTTCAGATTTCAAACCATGAGATGATATGCCAAAATTCAATATTAAATGAACTCAGAAAGAAAACAAGCAAATAAAGTAAGTTTTGGAGTTGATTGACATATCAGCACCAATCAGCTATATGGTGTAATACATACAGTGCCAATTAAATTTATCACAATCAAATGATGCTGTACTTTATACCTCTATTAAAACTTTCCACAGTATCCAGGATATTCTCACGTTCTGAGAAATGACAATTTATTGAAAAAAAGTGAGGTTAAAAAGAAAATCTGTATTTCTAATATCTTCTTTTAGCATGTATCGATCAGAATGTAGCAAAGGAAAAATCTAAAGCCTTTTCCAACAGGAAATAGCATTTCTTTCTTTAAAATTCTTATCATATTTAATAAATAGCATACTTCAAACCCACATAACTCCACCAATTCAAAATATAAAATTCTTATATTTCAATAATCTCTTCCAATCTCCACAAAATTGCCATATTTAAATGACATAAAAAACAGATTTAGCTTATTTCATCCCAGAAACTGTCATTGAGTCAAACAATTGATTTTTGGTGAATGCAGCGAAGTGAATGATATAGAGATTGAAAGATGGCTAGGATACGTGTCTATTGACGTAAGTGAAAATACTGACCTGGCCATTAACATATCTAGCAAACCATAATCGACCCGGTGAATACTGAAATAAACAAATTATATTTTAATCATGTTTGTTTCAAATGTTAAAATTAAAGAAGCTGAAAGTTAATGAATCACATAATAAAATGAGTCTGCTGTGTAGTACTAACATAATCACATGTTTATTATAGTAAATTTACTATGATTATGAGATGTGTTCTGAACAGAAATGATAACCCTCCAAATTGCTTTTTGAAATATAAGATCAAAAATTGTTCAAATTCAATAGGATTTTTCCCCTCACCAACTTTTAATATTACTGTATCACGAGATATGCCCTTATTGGTTAATGTGTGCAAAATTTGTGACCTCAAAATTTGAAAATTTTGATTTTTTCTTATACCCTTAAACCGTGAAAAACAATCCGACAAGTTTGAACAAAACAGCTAGATGACTTTATGATTAATTGAAAAATTCTGTATTTCAATACCACCCAAACCCAATGAACAATCCCTGCAAATTCGAAAAAATATCTGTCAAGAAGTCTGAGCTGTGGAGTGTTCACAAGAAATTGTCAACAGATCGACCAGAGTATTGTGTTGAGGAGACATCAAACCCCATTCCATTCCATTCCTAGCAGATTCAATAACATGATTTTAGGGCAATCATCAGTCAATTTCATCCTTTATTCTATTTATTGAGACCAAGTCAAAGAAAATGCAAACTTTGACATTTGAAAATTATATAAAAGTAAATTCGATATAGTTAACTAGAATAACACCAAGTTTTGTTTCTGTAGAACTACATGTATGTTTTTTTTCTCTATCATGGCAACGCGGGCAAAGTTGTTAGGTGGAAGGCAGTTGTTTTTAATGGTGTATTGATCCACTTTATTCATTCCATTAGTCTACAAATAAACTTCTCCCTTTGAATTATTCATTGTTTTCAAAGATTCTGCCCAATTTTCAGACAGAATTTCTAAATTAGTGTAGAGTTGGATTTCATGAATACAATTACTCTTCAAATTCAACAAGAAGACACCTCTTCTTCCATATATAGCACTGTTTGAAGCGATTCCCCCAATCATAGTTAATGATTGTAGGAATGTAACATTTAAATGGCAATGATTTTGCTCTTCTCATGATCAATCGACAGAAATACCCCAAATTCCTATATCATATTTGAAAACAGAGATAGGGAAAGAGAAATGGGGTTGAACATCTACGACACAAACTAGGACACTCTTTGACTAGCATATGGTGCAATTTTATTTCAATAATTCGCTTGCTTGTATGCTCTTTAGCAGTATGAGGGAGTCTACTACATATCACGTACAAGCTTAGGATGGAAACTATGCCACTTGATTCAAAAACAGATTGTGTGATTGATATATGTGTTAGATTTTAGTAAATCCTAATACATAAAAATAAAAATCCAAATCATTTACTGATAAAGTCTTTGAATGAACTATAATGCACTACTGGATATACTGATATAGTCATTTAAAAAGTAATATCAGAATTAACATTATATACCGGCCCTGCTCTCTATTCTTGAAAAATGGATACCGTCACTAGCCTGAATTATCTATCTCCTTGTACTACTGGAAAGCAGTGATATTACTACATGTAATAACATGAAAGCGAGCATATACACCAGTCACCAAAACAGGACAGGACACTGACAGTAACTGATTTACATATCCAGAGGGCAATAATGCTGTATCCATAATACTTAGGACCTGGGAACATTAGTCTTTGAGTTGATAATTGACTTCGGCAATTTGGTATGGCATGTTTGTTGGCATGTCCAGTCAACAGAACAACCATATAATATTTTCCTTATCCAACAGATTGATTAATCCTATGACATTTTGTGTTCCCTGTGTTGTTGAAAATCAATAGGTTGTTTGTCTCTGACGTAAACATATAAATTTCAAGAATATCAGAAGATAACCTCTAGTACATCCCCATGACATTTGTGGACGACTAACAGACATGGGTATCTGCAATATTATCATTACTATGGATTGGTTTTTTAGCGCAAAATTACAACTAACAGTTATTTCTAATTGCCTTATATTGCTCGGTGAGTATACCACTTGCTAATAACCAGATCCTGGGTTCAATCAAGGTGTTGGCTGAGAAACTTCCTCAGCTATTTTCAGTCTGGTTGGTGTATGTACGTCTGCATTAGCTCAGTTAGTGCATAAGAAATTGAATGGTGTTTTAACTTTTATTGTCCGATTTTTCTGCTCCAACTGGGCTACATAACTGGGCTAATGAAAACAGTGACATAGGCATAGGAGCCATTTTTCAGGCAATGTATTTCTGTTTTTCGGGCACAGACATCAGAGAATGGGCAACATTAAGTTGGTTTTTTTTTTGCTTAACATATTGTAAATTTATATTGTTGTGTAATTGTGTAATTAATTAAAAATAAACAACTATCACACCTTTGTGGAAAATTCGTTTTAGTTAATGACTGATTTATTCTGAAAATTTGAGTGACAAAGAAAATGTTCTGGCAAATAGCCTCAGCCCCCCACCCCCCTGCCCCCCTCTACAAACTGATGAGATTGGCCCCCTATGCCTGTAGAGTGTAGACAGTTGTGTACAGACGAATAAGACGTTCAACACTTTATAATTTTGAATTGTGGAATATCAAAAGTTTTAAATCATTTTGTTTAAATTTAAATGGACTAACCTGACATAATTCTCCAAATTTGGCTTTTTCTGTTTGAGACACATCATCACTGAAATAATGAAAAAGAAAAAAAAATTATGCTTACAGTCATGGAATATTTTAAGAAATTGGTATTTTTCTTGTCTAACGACTGTAACAATTAAAATTTCAGTATTGTCCAACTTTAAAAGAAATCTGTCAAGATGATTGAAAAATTCACCCACTATGAATTATCACACGAAATGTAAATAACATTATGTGTCTGTTGATTTAATTTCATTTCACACATGAACACAATTACTGATTACAGAGTGTCTGGCGAGCAAGTTAATGGAGATCTAAATGCATAAAAATAAAGAACTGCATGCTAAGTTTGTTTACTTCTAAGTTGTCGATAAGTTTACAGTAATACAATTCTCAATAAAAGAGGGTTATCTTTTCAGCTCCGAAAACAGAATTCAGAATAATTTGGTACATGACAGACAGAAGCAGCAATGAATAGTTCTGCGTTATGATAATCTGTACTGAAAGAAAAGTTGTCAGCAACAAAACATCCCACAACAATGCATATTCTGGTGATCATTATTATTTATATTTCAATGATTCATTGGTACAAATCTTTATTTGATACAGCCAATTACAAAGTGGTGGAGGAGAACAGAGGGAAGTTTTAAGCAATTTTTTATCTAACATGTTCTTTGTCTATCAAAAACCACTTCAACTTCTTTATACAGTGTGCACCATTTCTTTTCATTGTGCAGAAAATCTCTTACCAAAATTCCTCTAGCTGTATTTGCTGTGAGATAACCCTTACGAGTTCAAACTAGAGTTAGAATGTTAGTTAGTGATCATAAATACACAACAGACATCAGAGAATGGGCAACATTAAGTTGGTTTTTTTTTTGCTTAACATATTGTAAATTTATATTGTTGTGTAATTGTGATTATAGTATTAATTAACACTATACATGATACCAATCTGACCTTAACAGTATCCGGAGCCATAACACATACATATAGAAAACAAGTTTGATAATGTTGAGAGAATCTCTTCAAAACATGACGCCCCCCCCCCCCCCACACACAAAAAAATAAAATTATTAGCTGTCTTCCATAAGAATGTGTTATAGTTTATTGCTGTATCAAATTACTAAATGCCTCTAAAATATTAGCTTTTGGAGTGTACGAATTTAGCAGTATCCTTTTCAATGTGTGTAGATAATGGTTACTCTCCTGCTTTTCATGAGTGGATCTGTTGTTGAACACGGATTATACAAGATTATTTCAAACCTAAATGTTCTCTTCCCTAAATACATACCCATTGATTGGAAAACATCCAAACTACGAGAGAAATATTTTTCTAACCAAATAATGTCACTCATTATGTATTTAATATGACAAAATAAATGCTGGGGTTATATAAGTACCTAGTAATGTGTAATGCAATGTCAGGTCCAGTGGTTGATACTCTGTAAAAACACAAAAAAAATATTTTTGGCTCTATAGGCATTTAAATTTAGCTGTAACTTTATATATATCAGCACTGGAAAGTATCTACATCAAACACCAAAAGTGATTATATGGCCTTAAGTCATTTTTCTTTTCTTCTGTACTCCAAGACTTTTTAATAAGATCAATAATTATTTCTGATTTCATGCTTTCCTGGAGCTGTCAAGAAATAATGACACATATTTTCAGATCTATTAGATAAGATGGAAACCTACTACAGATGTTCCAAGATGGAAATAGAAAACCAAAAAGCATCAGATTGTAAAATGTTTTCTATGAGAAAAAAAACCCTAATTCAGCATCAAAGCAAAGTAATAACACGTGTGATAATTTGTAAGCTTTGAATTTTTTTTGCAGAAATTTTTGAAGGTCTTTGATGATTCACAAACTACTTGTATTATGATATACATGTCTATGAAGTTGGTGACATTTTACACAATAGCTGCTAATTAATGTTATGACAGTTACGGAAATGACATTAAAAAAAATGAAATGAGGTTTATTGTGTTACTTTTCTGCACAAAGTAGGCTAAGCAAGACATCCAATGACAAAAAAATTGAAAACAAGCTATAGAATATTGGAATAAACGTAATCATACATATGTAAAATGTCATAGAAGAGAATAATGACTAAAATCAGTTTACTTGGGTTATTTGGGGTGCGGTTCTATGCTTATGGCAGAGAATTTAAACAAGACAACAGCATTTTTCTGCATAATCTTTTTGAAATTCAAATTGTAAACTGTTTTGTTGATACAAGCACAACTGAGGTTAGCAGACCGAAGTTAAAGAGGTTAAATACGTGTAGGATAAACAGACCAGCTAACTGATTAGGGTTAAAAACCTCTGTGGCCGAAACATTGTACTGAAGAGTACATATAGGATCTTAAGATTTTTGTCTAATTTGATGGACTAGACACATCCCTAATAACCCGGCTGGTATCTTCCATGATACTTTTTCTCAGGCTATGCCAGAATTTTAACCAAAACCTTCTACGGTTTTTGTTTGTCCAGTTCCCTGATTACAGAACTCTACAATTAGCCATGTCCATATGAATTACAATGTAATGGTGATTAAAACAGGAGAGAGAGAGAGAGAGAGAGAAAGAGAGAGATCGGGTTTAACATCAAATCGACACCAACTAGGTCATTTCGGGACTAACACATGGTTGAATTTTATTTCAATAATTTGATTGTGCGTAGGGGTCTTTAGCAGTGGGAGGAAACCGGAGGAGGAAACCGGAGGACCCGGAGAAAACCCACGAGGTTGGACAGGCGATCCTACTCCTTGTCACGTACAACCGGGGAATCAAAACCACGCAGTTGACTCAATAACATACCTTACGATATAGCGCGCACGTGCTAACCATTTGGCAATCCAACCCCCCAAAACAGGAGAGACTTGTATAACTAGTTTTCACAGGGACAACTGACAAACCCCGATATTCTCTGATTTCTCAAGTCTCGTACACATAAATAATTGGCCATGATTTCTGGTACATGTATGGGAATGACTGTCTAGATGTTCAAATGTTATAAAAACAGTAAGATCACAGATTGCACAAATTGGTTGTGTACATTATAACATTCCTAGACATTTTCAATTTAAAGAAGACTATGCTGAAACACATCTGTTAGGGCACAGCACAATTCTCCTGCTCACATTACCATGTTATTATCAAAATTGAGCAATAGAGGTTTTGGAGCATTGTACAACCAAAAGTTAGGTTCATATATAGTCTAAACTTCAAATATCAGTAGGGTTATAAATTACTATAATTCATGTTATACATGTAGTCTAAACCAGTGGTTTTCAATCCCTGGTCCACAAACCAGTGCTGCTCTCTCTCTCTCTCTCTCTCTCTCTCTCTCATGTAGGAAGGTTCTATTTCTGGCATTATGGTTTATTGCACGTTTCATGTTATTTTACATAATATGGTACATTGTAGCTACAGAATTTTCATTTTACAATATATAGTATTACATTTAAAAACAATATAAATAGAATACGAATAATGATTTTTATTTCTCACTTTGGTTCATGAAATATGTCCCTAATTATGAACAGATTGAAAACCACTTGTCGAGACTACAGTCACGAAATGTGATGTTTCCGACTACATTAATAGTAATTTTTGACTAATACTAATTAATATTACAGATATCACCATATTAATTTGTCTGAAATAGTAAATCATTATCTCACTTTACTATAAAACTCTCTATTAGCAGTTGACGTGTTAATCTTCATGTCTGAACAATATAAAACCAATTATTTTCAGGTCACCTGGACATAGGACTTCAACAAGCTTCATGAAAGGAGCCAGTGATTAACCCTCTGAACCCTGGCATATATAAGGTAAATGACCCTTCCCCTGGCCCGTGGGGCAAAATTTGAAAAATTTTAGTGACAAAATATAAAATTGCTAATCACCAAAAGTGCCAACAATGTGGATATTATGCAAGTATAGAGCATGTGCTATTAGAAAAAATAGTTCTGAAATATACATATACATGTAATATGATTCTTCAAGGCAACATTTGTCATCATACTTCCACAGTTCACAAAAAAAAATACCGAAAAAATAACATTGCAAAATTCAATGAACAATGTAAGTGGTATAGAACAGAGGGCCTGGCAAGGAACAGCATCTAGTTGTTCAGATGGGATAGAAACCCAAGGTCTCATGTACACGCTGGCATGCACATGAAAAAAACGTTGACAGCTGGAATTCAACTGCTGACCCGGCAAAATATACCTCATAGCACACTGACTGGTGTATACTTGTCTTCATTAGCCCAGTTGGTGCAGAAAAGTAGGACATTAAACCCCATTTCATTTCATTCATGAGGGGTTGGATGGTCAAATGATTAGAACGTGTCATTGAGTCAACTAGCCTGGGCAGCGGCGCTATGGCCTACTCTTATATCAAATTCCAACTGCCAAGGGATCTTTTACGTGTATGCCAATGTGTGCACGGGACCTCAGTTTTCCATCCCATCAGATGACTAGGCAGCTGTCCTTGTCAGGCCCTCCATCCTGCATCACTGACAAGGGGAAACCACGCCGGAAAATCTGAATGAACTTTCTCGGCCAATGCCGAGTTTATTTAAAGCATTACTATTGGAAAGAAAGCAAAGGAATGGAGTTAACGTCTTATCAACACAATTCACGAGATTAACAAACAACATACAATTATTTTTGTTTCTGCAGTCACATGTGCAAAGCTATAGGAGGAGGAGAAATCGATAGCAGCATTTCCACCTAGTTTTTGTTAAATTCTAACTGTCAAGGGTTCTTTTTTTACACAGCATGAAGACTAGGCAACACCTTTCTTATCAACACCACAGGCACTACCTCTGACAAGAGGTAACCTGGCTCGGAATCTTTTCGACTTTATTATTAATATTATTGAACTAAAGCATAGTTTCATACTGCTTATGTTCAACACTCAGCAATCCAGTAACTGAACAAAATTACAACCTGCAACATCAGGTGTCTTGACATAATAAGAAACTTACCACAGAATATCTGATTGTCCAGTGGTATCAGTTGTTATT